GAATCCATCTGCGCAACGAACCCCGTCGCCGCACAAAGATCTTGAGCCGAGCAGTGGAGGTTATCCCATCAATAGATGGGCTGTAGCATGTTATAACTAGCTGTGGTTACTAACCAGTGACGATCCGTGGGGTGATACTCCAAGTTGTTGGTTGAATCAATTCTTCACAGGTGACATCCCTGTTCTCTGGTGAGTCAAATCCTCATTGTGTTGGTCACATCTTTCATCTTCTGCTGACTCATCTTCCCTAGTTTGGATGGTATATATATATATAAATCCTAAGTAAGTTTGGATGGTATATATAAATCCATATATATCCATATAAATCCTAAGTATTGCTGTACATCTCCACTTCTGATGCTCTTTGATGGTCATTTTTTGTCAGTTTTCATCCCAAAAAAAGACATCAGCCAGGCCATCGCCCACAACCGACCTGTCGAAGGTGAGTACCTGCTGTGGCAACCCATGGATTCCCATGGTTTATCTATGTAGTGGTTAATGTTTAAGTGATATTCTAACTATACATTATGACTTATTATGGTGTTATGTACATATATATATATATAGTTATACATATATATATACACATATTATATCCTATAAATCTATAACCGTCTGTAAGCTACCAAACTGCCATGAAAATCTATGGCTTTCGTGTGAAATGATGTTTCATGGTGGATTGTCCACATATATACATATCTAGTCTACTGGAGGCTATCTTAAATATGTTATATGTTGTAAGTTATACCTATTGTATCCTATTGTCAATCATTTTACGTATGCATATGCTACTTGATGTTTATGATTCTATATAAAGCAGTCTGGATAGGTATATATACACAAGTTTTCACACTCTACGAATATGAAAAACCTCAGCAGATGTTTTTTGACTGAAAGTTCGGGAACCCTGAATTCGGCGCTTTGCTTTGCGTATTGTACAAGATATCAAATTTACCCTCTGGTAAACTAACATAACTATGGAAAATCAACATTTTTAATGGGAAAACTCACTATAAATGAACATTTTCCATAGCTATGTTAAATTACCAGAGGGTATTATTCTTGTTCTATCGGTTGTTTGCGTCCCTTGATCATATCCCCAACCTCTCTGTCCAAATATCTGGGATTTCGACCAAAATTTATTCTTCCAAAATATTTCATGGCACACTTATTGAAATTCAAGATATTCAAGGGGAGACCATTTTAGATGTTGCTGTTTTGCCCTTGACCTTGTTGACGTTGCCATCCTGGTTATGCTACGCCGTGAAAAGTTGGAGAAAAGACACCCACATATAGGGGCGTGGTCAATCCATTCAAATGGTGATGCAATAGGATATTCATGGGACTATGAGACATGGGACATACTCGAATCACCAACGATTAAGTCAAAAAATGGATTGCCATTCTAGTTGGTCATGAATCCTTATCAAACATCCATAAGCTCCTATCAATCCCTCTAAATCGCTATTATTCATGGATGATCTCCTGATATTCATCACCTTCTTTCCAGCTTGGCCGACAAAAAAACAATAAAAAACCGACAGCCGCGGCGTCCCTGACGTCCCTGACCTCCTTCAGCACCTTGAAGCCTGGACGGAACATAACATTTCTAATGGTTGATGGAATAGATATGTATATATATATACTTATATATATATATACATATATATATATATATTGGGAACATGTTAAACATATAAAACCACCCACCAGTTGATGACTTGTGTGACTTGTGACTTGGGGCTCATATTTTTTTTTCGCTGGGGACCCCAGAGAGGTGGTATAGACGGTATAGATGATCTGGAGACGATATCGACGGATGTGGCCAACAACGAATTTTGGAGAATACAGTATATATACCATATTATACAATATATATATATATAAAATTATATATATATATAGTTCATGTTTATCTTCCAATTCTAGAGCGTAAAAATCCGATTCAAAACATGGGGATGGGTTGGGGACGACCACTCCAGCAGTTTTATCGAACATGGCTTCCCCATTACAAAAGGATACCTGATGGTTGGTGAAAACATCATCCACAATCAATGTCCATCATTCTTAAGTGGCGGATTGATACCATCAATCCAATCTTTTTCCTAACATTGGTTGGATCATCCTGGTCTCGTTACCGATAGATATGTAAGATCGATATACATTATTTTTGTAGATGACTAAAGAAATGCATAAACAAATTTTCCGATGATTTTCCGAAAGAATCCCTAAGCATTTCCTCTGGTAATCCCTTAATTTTTACAACCCAACTGCTGCCGAAGGAGCTGTGCTTGGGAATTCCCAGGATTCGAAGGAGCTCCTGGCGGGTTTGGGATGTGAGTTTGGGACCTGAACATGGGTAGATCCCAATGAAATAAGCCATTTTAACTGTTAGAACTGGTTTTCATCATGGTTAGTTATGGTTAATAATGTCTATACAATTTATCAATTTGTGATGGTTTAATTCTGATTTCATGTATATCACCTGGTTGATTGTGGCCATGATCGGATAATGATGATAAAAACCATTGGATTTGGATGCACTGGGGGTCCATCCTTTTCTAAAGCCTCTCTAAGGAGAACATGATGATGGTGAATTCTCTGAGACTTCCAGCAGTCAGCTATATATAGTCAGCTTCTACATCCCCCAATGGGGAATGATTTCCTTTGGCTCACAAGCTGCAGAAATGTTTTTTCAGTTCTGCCACCAAATGATCTACAATGACTATAGGGCGAGAGATCAAGAAGTGAACTCTAGACCGAAGCCTCGTGGCTTCAACCTATCCCCAAATTTCTTATCATGTTGGTTCTCAATCCCGCAAACAAATGGTATATATATATATATACACCTGATATACCCTTCAAGGAGAACGAACTTTGAAGCGTTCAAGAACGATCAGACTTCGTGGATTCTACAGCTGTTCCCTGTCCGGACCCCCCTCCTTGGGTGAAATTTCACCTTTTTCTTTGATGCCTCACTGCGGTGGTGCCACAAAAAGAGAAGAATGGGATGGTGGAACGCTGGGATCCTGGGAGCTCATCCCACGAATGGTAGATAGGTTATATTCCCGGTTGTATGTTATAAGTGGGATAAGTAGGGTTACTCCACTGCTGGGATTAAAACCCACTTGAGCAGGATGAACCACCATGCAAATCTGTTTTCGCGGTCCCCTAAGTCTTGAAATTCGTACGCAGAGAATGTCAGCACTGCCAAAATCTGTGCTCTTGACCATAATTTTGCATTGGCACATGAGGCTAGTGGACTGTCGGACATGGCTTGCCGTGATTGATCAGGATACCCTCTGGTAAACTAACATAGCTATGGAAAATCACAATTTTTAATGGGAAAACTCACTATAAATGGCCATTTTCAATAGCTATGTTAAATTACCAGAGGGTAACCATCTCAGCATTGTGCTGACCGTCAAAATCTGCATGACACCACCCTCTCTTGGGCATAGGTTGGAGCTTCTCAGGTTTTTCGGTCATATCCTTTGAACATTCTCCCATGACAATGTGATGCCCCCCCAGTCATAAGTTGCTTTTTATCCCATTAAATAGAAATATCTCTACCATAAACGTAGTTATACTATGTTAGTCAAACCAACTTAGCCAGTTTAATTCACCCAGAAATACACAGTTTAGACACAGTCACATCTCCATTTTCGTATGGGACAGCCAAACAGGATCATTTCTGCACCAAAGCTGGGCATTCCAAACACTTCACAGCACGTCTTTGCAGCTCCCAGTGATCCATGGACGGCCTCAAGGGGCGGACGGGCGATGGTTTATGAATTTGAGGAAAAACCACGATGAGGAAATGAAGAACTAAATCAAGAATTATTCATGGAACGGTTAAGTTGGAGTATACCCTCTGGTTATGTCAAAATAGCTATGGAAAATGGACCATTTACAGATGATTTTCCCCATAAAACCTCCATTTATAATGGATTTTCCATAGCTATGTTAAATTACCAGAGGGTAATTGAAGAGATCTGCCGATGGATACAGTAAAAATACAGGATTTCACGGGCAAAAAAAAACAGCTCCTCTCGAGAAATTTTGCCCCCAGGAACCCTTCCAAGAATCTTGAGCCGACAAAAAAGAGTGTAACATTCGCAGAATTGCTTTATAGGTTGGACATTTCACGAAACTCTTATGATCTCTTATACCCACATTATATACAAATATATACATACTGTATATAGTACACATATAATAATATAGCACCATTAATTAGTAAACACATCTAAAAACATCCTGGAAGTAGTGCCAGGTCCTCTCTTGTCGCACCTGTCCACCAGCGCTGGCAGTGACACCTCCTCCTGGGTCGACCAGCAGAGAGTGGGAAACAACACAGGTCACTTTTTTCTGGAATACAGTATCATATATGATACTGAATATATATATATATCTATATATCTATATATATGTATATATATATATATACACGTAATACTAGTTGATGAAGCTCCAAATCTAGATTGGTTGCGACCAGCATTAGCTGTATAATCACAATGAGTTACAACAGATGGGTGTTTACAAAGACGCAGGAACAAATACAGCGTTGGTCACTTGCACGTCTCATTCCAAATATGGACACAGTTAACGATGGACTACCAGCCTTGCCAGCTATCACCTATACACATACAAAAGCGTGGTGAAACAGGGTGTAAACTGTCTAGCTCCGGCATGCTGTATCTACCTTGCCAGACTGGGTGATCCTGGATCTTTTCCAATTTTCTTTTCATCATGGGCTTAATGTTGCTATATGTTTGGAGTTTTTTGGATATGTGTAAGCGTAAATTCATAGATCTAGCATGGTGTATGTATATATATATCATATCAAATCATATCATGCATAACAATATATATATATATGTATGTATTACAGCTCATGTCTTTTTCAATCATATAGTTAATGATATATTAGTTTATATATATATATAATATCTCATAGAATTATGATTCAGCGCAGGCACAGAGTCTCACCCTTTTTATCCGCGCCCTTCGTTGCGGGTGGAAGGGTCAGTGTAGATATGCACCTGTCAGAGGCAGGGAGCGAACCTCACCATAGCGGCCATCAGAAGGCCGGGCGTATAGAATGTCCACAAGGGGTTAAAATCCCACAAGGAAGTAAATAGGTGATACCCTCTGGTAAACTAACATAACTATGGAAAATCACCATGCTATTCATGGGAAAACTCACTATAAATGGCCATTTTCAATAGCTATTTTGACATAACCAGAGGGTATCCCTAGCTAGGATAAATAGGGTTGATAAGTTGATCCACGGATTTAAGACAATTTTAAAACGAGATTTTTTCTACCAACTCGCTGAGTAGGATGAACCAGCAAATATGGGTCGATGTTGATGATTCTTAATCCAGGCTGGCTGCAGAAAATGCAGTAAGACAATGTAAGACAACAGCATGGTACTTCTCCAATGCTCAGCAACGACAGGGTGGAAGACATCACGGGCCATTTCTCAGCAGGCTGTGGTAGATGGACTCTGAGAATGACCCATTTCCCCTCTCTGGCAGGGTCTATGTTAGTTGGGGGATGGTAAAATTTCACCGCCACAGAGGCAGCTTGTGCACCTGCCACAGCCAGCAAGCTGACAGAAAGGCTCGACCTGACCGATGGGTCGTTTGAAGCAGCTGAGCAGTGGTGATTCACTAATCACTACCTGTACTTGCGGGAAACTGCAAGTGGATCGTCACAGTATGCAAGACATATTATAGATATGTCACATACCCTCCAGTGAACTACCTCTGACATGGAAATAGCGAGCCCCTCACAGCAGCAATTTTTCAGGCTCCCATGAGCTGAGGATTTCTGTACTTCTTGCTACTGTGAACGTGAAACGCCACACCAAGTGAAATTTATTGACTAGTCATGACTAGACTGCCATTAAGGAATTCGGGTGGCAGAAACCTACTGCAAACTGATACAGTAGTGGCAAACCTCCAAAACTTCGCTTCATTTCCCAGATCACCAACAAGACGGAAGGCAGTCATATCCAACTTTGCATCGAAAGGGGAATCCCTGCCTAAAGCCCAAACTAATTCTTAATGTATCAGAAAGGGGACAGATTAGTCATCCATCAGCAAAAACAAGCACCGCCTCTCTCTCTCTCTCTCTCTCTCTGGAAAACTGAGGATAAGGCGGCGTTACCAATACTGTATCCAATGAGAATGGTGTCTGGAAAATCGGAGTACCCCGAAACCTTTTTTTTTCCCAGTGCAAATGACCAAATTGTGGATGATTCTGGGGTCCCCCATAATAATTATATAGGAATCCCCATTTGGGGGATCTTTACACATCAACCAAACTGCAGGTTGCTATCTTGTTAACCATCCACTCATCCGTAATCTGTTTAGACATTCCTTTAAGATCATGATAGACCTTCGATCTCCCGCGAAACGCCAGGGAGCTCAACAGTCATGGGGGATTCCCGCCCAATAGCTAGTTGGTTATGTCATCGAAAATCCGAAACTAAAATGGATGACTTAGGGGTACCCCCATAATATGGAAACCTCCACATATTACACAATATATATGTGTATATATATATATTGTATATATATATAATATACTGTACATATTAATGATTCTTCATAATGTTACTTCTCCTTTTCTGGCAACAATCGACCTATTCACCCACCATTCACCCGTGTTCAGGCTGACACCTCAAAGTATTGCTCTTCTCATTTTTATCCTTGCCAGACTCTCCGGGTGCAGCGAAATGGCTTCGTGCAGCGAACCTCATCAGCTCCATTTGGGATGGAACGTCGAACAAGTTTCTAGTAAGACCAGCTACAAAATAAGCCACACAATACCACAAAATGGTACTGTTGTTCGGATTTTTTTTGCATATGTTTTTCTCAACTGCATCGATTTACACATTTCTTAAGAGCAATTTAAGCCACTGATAGTCGTTGGCTTAATCCTCTGAGATGGGGCAAAGTCTCCTTTTTTTTGCAGATGAGAAACCCATCGAAAGCTCATAGAAATTTGGCAAAAAAAAACAACAAAACCATCCAAATCCAAAGTCAACATAGTACCCATAGGATCCATGTATGGTATATATGCTAACATTGGGGGTATATTGATGGTAAATGTTACCATATATAGCATACATGGATCCTATGGGTAACATAGTCAATGTATGTCTCAACATTCAAAGCCTGCAGGAAAGACACGGCCCTTGGTGCTGACTCTGCGCTTGCATAACAGAGGCCACCCTCTGTGTGCCGATGAAGGCTGGATACAGTCGCTGGGCCTCATGCCTGGGCACAGAGCTTCGTTGGCCCGTTCAGGATCATACAGTACACGAATTTGTTGGGCATTCATTACATGAGCCCTCGGGTCATACCAAGAATTCCATGAGCCTTGGATAAAAAATGGCCAGCCCAATGGCCCACAGTGTTTCACCTTTCCACTGATCCTCCCAGGCAAGGGTTCCTTTCTCATTGCACCCAAGGGTCAATGCATCCATGGGAGTAACCATCGACATCCTGCCAGGCAAAAACAAAGGGTTGCTCCCTGTCCATTAACCTCCTAAGATGGTGATCATGGACCCATAGTAAGTTGGAGCAACCGGGTTACCCTCTGGTAATTTAACATAGCTATTGAAAATGGCTATTTATAGTGGATTTTCCCATTAAAAATTGTGGTTTTCCATAGTTATGTTAGTTTACCAGAGGGTAGTAGACCCTGGTTGCTAAGCTGCTTCATTTGGTTTGATAGACTGGGGGGAGGTCCTCTAGTGAATCGGCCAAGGTCTCTTTAAAACGCAGATTTGGCTGGATACGACGATATCTCTTTGATCACATCCACATATATTCAATGCTTTGGACATATAGGGACACTGCATAAACACATGGAAACTTGAAGAAACAGCTTCACTGGCATAAACATGGATGTTTTTATGTCGGTTTTATTCCCGAGCAAAAGCCATCCCCTCTATCAATTGTCCGAGTAGTATCCACTCTTCAAGATTATCACGCAGCATCCATAATCAGTAAGAAATGGTACCGGTATAACATGGTGAAAATATGTAAAAAATATTACATATTCCGGTGCACAACCCACCAAAGTATCGGACGCTCCAAAAAAGGAGCCCTGAAAACTCCATTTCAGGGGATGAACACATCGGAGGAGTGGAAGTGTTTGCAATTTCTAGATGGTTTCTCCTCCTTGCGGAAAACATGAGGGGATTCCAGAAGGGTATGGGTAAAACCAAAGATCCTGCAGATCGGCAATGGACTGATCCTTTTTGTGTGTTCAACTCTATTTTTCTCTAAGGATGGAATGCTTCCACTGTTTTAAGATGGTTGTTAGACACACGGAATATGCCTATAGCATCCTATAGCCTATAGATACTATAGACCACAATTTGGACATTTGGACCTGTATGATTCTGATTTATCACATGTCATCGCTGTGATATCCTGAGCATTTTTGGATAGTTACCCCATCTCCAGACCCATATCATACCAACCGAATTCAAAAGCTCAAACGACAATGACATTCTTGGTCACCATGATATTCCCAATATATGGGAGATCTTCAGGATCCTAAAATGGAGGTACGTTAGTACCATATATATAAGGCCTTATATATGGTAGATACCTCCAATCAATCGGATCCTGAGTCATGGCCATTGATATATACATCTCATGTGTTTTTAAGTCTATCCCAGTGCCATGTTTGTGAACTCCCTTGGAATCAAATCGCTTACCTCCCCTTGGAATCGATGGAATTTTTCCAGTTGAATCCCCATGTTTCATGCTTAAATCATCCATCGCTGGTGAATTTCGTGACTTCCAAAAATGTCACAACCATCCTGAAACATCCACAAAAATATCATGTTTTTCTGACTTCCCCATTAAATATCATGAAAATCCTTGATGAACTCCCCTAACTCCCCTAAAAACCATTGGTTGATAACCCCATCGCCTGGCCAAGTACTCATCGACCTCCTTGGCAGAAGTCGCTGACTTCACCTCAGCCGGAAGCGAGCAGGGGGCTCAAGCGATGGGAACGATGGGAACCACAGTTCCAAAAATTTCAGGCATTCAACGGCTATGTATACATAATAGTATGTATATATATATATATACTACATAATATTATAGACATGCCATAGAGATCCATGGAGTAAGTGTATACTATGTAGATGTATCTGTATGTATCGTTGTATATACAGATCTACAATGTGTACATTATGTGTATATATATATATATACATATACAATATGCTTTGTACACCTTAGTTTGAAATGTCCGACATGGGTTTGATACGGTTCGGTCCTAGAGTCTCCTGTGGAATCGCTGACTTGCCCAATCAAATCCTTTGGTATTACTGACGTATTCCACAACATTTGTCATCCTAAAAATGTGATAAAATGTGATAAAGGTATGAAACACTATAAATAACAGGATGACAGTAAAAGGAATTAAACCATCTACCAACTGGTGCAGGATTTCTTCCATCCACAGAATTGCAGCACAATGATTCAGGTGTTACTAGGTGTTACTGTTCGTGAGGCGGCCATTGGGGGGTCTGGGCTAACTGGGCTAACAAGCTTCATCTGTCACCTTTTGGCATCTATCATTTGAAATGATATACCCTCTGGTTATTTAACATAGCCATGGAAAATAACAATTTTGAATAGGTAAACCATCTATAAATGGGCCATTTTCCATGGCTATGTTAAATAACCAGAGGGTAATTTGTTACATAGTATTGAAAATGGCCATTGAAATAGTTAGCCTTCCCATTAAACATGGTGGATCTTTCCATAGTTATGTAAACGTTTACCAGAGGGTACAAAGCCAATCACAATTTGTAGTTCTGGGCCAAAATCGAACATTCGATGACTTTTCCATGGATTCTTCTGCGCCAGCAGGCCGTATCCGTAGCTTTGGATATGTCCCATTTTGATCCATTTTGACCCGTACCACCAGCACAACCGGCCGACGACCAACCAACAATTGCAGGTATCTAGCAAGCGGCCATCCGCTTGTAGTTCGCCTCAAACATGGCAGCTACATGGATGGTTTTGGTGAATTGACGGGGCTATTGGAGAACCGAAACCTTTGATCTGCATTTGGGCGGATTGGACTTGTCGAAAGTACAGACATATCATCACATACCCTCCCAGTACAGCCTTCTACCCCTTCCCGACAGGACTGTATCACAAGCTTCCTCATGTTCCTTGGTAATTTTCTGGGCACCACGACACTAACCATGGACCCCAAGTGGAGACAATACAGGATCTCCGAGTAGGTTCCACTCTCAAAGCTGGAACATCATCCTCCAAACCTGTTTCTTCGTCGTTGGGGGATTTCCCTGGGGTTCCATGTGAGAAACTCTCTTACCCACCGGCCCAATGGCCATCATTTAGGCTCATTCAGACATCATGTATGCTGGTTACTAGCGGCTATTTTGCTAGAACAAACCACAATGGCTAGTCAAAACTTCCAGCATTTCTTACTTAACCCCCGATTTGGGCTCATTTAGAACCAATGTAGAACCCATGTTTCCTGGTCAGATCACCATTCAACGTATACGACGTATGCACCAAGGCGCCACCATGTAGTTGTGCAAATCCACCGATCCGTTGCTCAGGGCGAAGCTGCGCGCCGTGTAGATGGCACTCTGCTGCTGTAGCATCGAGACTTCGCGATTGATGCCTGGGGCCGAAGGGGACCGAAGGGGAGATGGGTTGGTTGAACTGAAAACGGGGTACCCTCCGGATCCCTCCAGTATCATCAAACGTGGCAATGGGAAATCCACTAGCAATGGAGATTCTATATAGTGGGGAAATCATTGATGTTTTTTATTTATAGTGGATTTTCCATTGCCACGTTTGATAACTGAGGGTACCTCTAAAAAACTTTGGTGGTTATGACCGTCTTTGTCCCAATTACAAGTATACATATGGGTACGGTATGCCCCATTTTCAGACCCATATCAGCTAGATGAAGCTATGACATGTGCGTATTTAGCATCATCATCAGAGATATCGATTCTACAACTTGGAGCATCTTGGAGCAACATCCAACTCAGTAGCTGGTTTCTGAGGTTCTACCGCAGTTCTTTTCATGGGACAAGCTACCAACAGTTGGGATTTCTCAACCAGGCAGAAATTCGGTGGTCAACAAAAAACCACTCAGTGGGATGATCCAAATCTCCTCATCTCCACCCTGCGGACCCTGCGGCACCTCGGACATGTGTGCTGGCTTGCGCCTCCATTTTTGAGACCACCTGGCTGTAGTAGTCCAGAAGCTGTGACCATTTGTAGAAGTCTTCACAGGCTTTTCCTGGCGCCGTGTTTCGCATGATGTTTCGGGAGTGTGGGGAGTCTGGAGGAAGTAGAACTGCACTAACGGTACTCCAATAGAAACATGACAAATGTCCACAGAAAGTGACTTGGGCCTCAGCAAACAAGGGAAAGCGAAAACTGTGCAGATGAGTATCCTCCGGTGATGAAAACTGGACAATTTTTCCCTCGGAGATGGTTTTAACATGTTTTAACCCATTGAAAAAGAGATGGAAAGAATTGAAAATAGTGATTTTCCATTGCCAGGTCAACCTAAAACTTAAAGATAGGGCATATGCCACTGTTGTAGCCAATTGATCCCAGTTTAAGACACTCTAAATCCTCTGAAGATCTCTGAAGTACCCCATGCTCAGCAGGGGAATCTGCAAAAAAAAACACACAGAACCCTTGCCAGGATGCTTGAGTGCAGCAACAAACTTGGACAGTTTCAACAGCATTCCCATATCATACCCAGGTGCTCCCGGTCACATCTGCCTAGCCATTTATACAATGTGTGTCAGTACCTGGATCTACGTCACCCATCCCAACCCGGCCTGGCTCGCCCTGGCTGCCGGCATGGCCCTTGAGGCCCACCTTGCCCGTCTTGCCCATCTTCCCCTGCTGCCCTGGCCTGCCCTGACTGCCCGTGGGACCTATCACCGAGGCGCCGGCAGGGCCCATGGGGCCCTGCAGCCCCTGAGGCCCTGCGGGTCCACGTTCCCCCATATCACCTGCTGGACCATACATGCCACTGACGATCAGCGCAGGGCGACCTGCGGCACCCTCCAATAGGGTGGCGTTCTGGGCGTTCTGAGGATCTTCCAGGGGGGGATCTTCATGGATCATCTCAGTGCCTTCACCATGGTCATCTGCAAGGACCTTGGCGGAGGCATTCCGAAGCCCAGATGAGAGGCTGGAGGCAGCCTCCTCTGCTTCTGCTTCCATCTCAACCTCCTGCGCTTGGCTGTTTCGACCACAAACATATGAGGAGGTAGGGGTTCCATCCCCAGATTGGATGGGTCAACTGTCTGTCTTGGCGCTAAATGCAATGGCCTGGGCCATGGGTCAAAATCTTGGCTACCAATAGAGCCATAAAATAGCATTAGACCATATTCCACCATCCATTTTGAGGGGTTGATGATGGATGGCTGGAACAAATCAGGATCCGGCTTGGCTGGTTGGTAAACAATGTAACAAGTGTCCCGTTAACCATGGGTGACTTCATAATCCCGTATAAACATTACAGTACAAAATCAACTACAGAATACTGTATATATATATATACACACACATGTATGTATGGATACCCCCATATTATCTTGGGGGCCCACAGGACATAAATCATAAATCTTCATCTTTTTTTCACTGCTGTAGTCCTGTGGATCCTCCATGTCCTCTACTAAGCCACTGGGTTCACTGGGTTCACTGGGTTCGCGCCGCAGCAGGGACAGCATGCCTGCGCTGAAGCTGAACGAGGACCGGCGGACTGAGATGTTTTCCAATGCCCTTTGGACTCTGGACTGGAAGATTTTGAACTATATACTGTGTATGTGTATATATATATATATATATTTGCGCACGCCATACGCGTATCATTTGTGTATCCTGTGTGTATGTATGTACGTGTATCCTATGTGTATATGTGTATATAGTGGAGCAGAGTCTTGTGGGAGGATGATTGGATAATTCCTTTGTAGAGAGAAGTTGTGACAGGAGGGATATCGCTGAAATGAGTCTTGTGACCCAGGAGAAAACACACATGATATCCGAGCAGCTGCTGTCCTTTCAGACTTACATTGCTGAAAGATGCTGAAAGCAAGACGACACTTTGCAGGAATCACAGATGGCACACTACATGGAGGGTTGAAACTCAATCCTTGGTTGCAAATCATTTTATCATTTCATGTATTGATCACTTGAGGGGTGTCGGAAAAAACATATATATATATAATATAATATACTATAATATATATATAATATAATATAACAAATATATATATATATATAAAATATATAATATTACATATATATATATATATGTAAACATACATTTTTGGGTCAGACACCGAAACCATTTACCTGTCGATCCACTTGGATGAACCCACAAATGACGCTTTGTCGACGAGACCAACAGCCCATTGGTCATATTCCCTGGCTTTCTCCAGCTGACCAGCCAAACAGTAAACATAAAGGTGATGCGTATAAAAAACCATGTCCAAGCAACTCTAAATCCCACATTTCTGCTCATCTCATTTTTGTGGTTTGTATTTAAGTATACATATACTGTACATGTTTTCACACAACATCTACACACACGTGAAATACATATGTTGATAGGTTGGTGCTTTAACCAATCCGTTTAACAAGCCAAAACAAGTCATCGAAAAACCAACATCCCAACTATGCTTGAAACAACGACATATTTGAACCCAAGCAGTATGTATATTATATCTGGGTAAGTTATCATAATGCACAAACCTGAAATAGAGCTATGTCAATTTGTATTGTGATAGTTTCCCCAGTCCTAACTATCATTTAATAACAACACCAATACTAATAACATATAATGATGATGACAATTATTGATAATCATTGATCATTGATACTAAATAAAAAACAATAAGCAATACACATTCATACAATAATCATTATATGTATATATATATTATATCTAATGAGTAAATATTTCTTATGTCCCCATGACCACGGATCGCCTTCAGGATGGCCCGAAACGACGTTTGTTACGCTGGCCACCTCCACTGTGGCCACTGTGGCTGTGACGGCCTGGCATGGTGGAGTTAAGCTGCACAACTTGAGGTTTGGTGGTTGACCTACACCTCTGAAAAATGATGGAGTTCGTCAATGGGAAGGATGACATCCCATATATTATATGGAAAATAAAACATGTTTGAAACCACCAACCAGGTTTATAGATGTTTAATGATGTTGAATGATGTTTATAACTTGTTGAACTTGTTTAACAGATTATAGTCTATAACCACATTTAACTTCTGTTTCAAGATGCAAGATTTGAGGCTTAACTATGATGAAACATGTCGTGGAAAAAATGCCGGGCGTTGCCACAAGAATTTGGGTGACCTGACTGACCCGCACCGACATGGAACCCCAAAATGAAGGGAGTCAATGGCGGTTGCTGGGGGTTGGCGCAAAGGGATTGCTTGATTTTTCCATTCCAAGCAAATAATTCCAGTGATGAAGCATACTCATATGGTGCAGTAACAGGTTCTTCAAGTCAAGACTTACTCCTGTAAGGAAAAAAATATACTCAAACAAGTAAACAGGAAATGATCTCATGTACCGTCAAAATGACAGCTGCAAAGGACCTCACAACAATGGTGCAATGGTTCAAACATCATAGCACCGCACTGCTGTCCTGCAGAGCCAGGATCGGGGCCCAGAACACCATGGCCGAAACGAGTCGGACTCGGATTTGCCAACTTTCCTACGGAAAGCACGTGAAAGCACCGTCCCGTTGTACGTACCCCTGGTACGCTGCGAGGACCGTGCGAGGGGCCTGAAAGCCAACATGGCTGCAGTCAAGGGGAGAATTGTTTCTCAAGTCATCAAACCGATGGACAATGGAATAAATGCATGCAAACAGTCTTGCACATAGAGTATTGCATAAATCTGATATGTGTATATATATATATATATTTCAGCCGACCGCAAACGTTTGATTTCGACCCATTAACTTCCTGCTTCTACAGTCCTACCCCTATTTTGTTTGGTGATATACCTACTTTGCCTAGTGATACCGACACCCTCACTTTTCATGTTTGTACCCAGATTTCCTAAATTGCATGAGATACAGCAGTCACCTTCGCTTCTATGCAACTTTAAGCTGCTGGTGAATCAATCTGATAAAATCCGCTAAGCTTAAACGACATGTGAAATGTAGCAACCTTCACATTTCAACCACTGTCAATCTGAGAAAATTGGAAGTTCGTTGCTTCCACTCCTGCCATCTTCCAAAACTCAGGCGGAACGGCCCCCGGATTCCGTCCTCTGGAGAGGGCACCTGACGAGGATGTAGGTATATATAATATAATATATTGTATAGTGTATATATATATACAATATATATAATATCATATATATATATATATTATATTAATAATTATATATATATATTATATTAATAATTATATATATAGTATATTAATATATTTATATTTATATTATATATTTATATATATTATATAATATCATATATATTATATTAATAATTATATATATATTAAATTAATATATTTATATTATATTAATATAATTTATATTATATTAATATATATATATGTATTATAAATTATACATATTATAAATATATATATATGTTATATGATATATATCTATATAAATATAGCACTCCACAAAAAGATGGAACAGTAATTCATCTCTACTTTAAGGTAGGATTTTAACTCTTTTTTTGAGGGGTTGCTCTATATATACAAAAAGATCTGATTAGTGGTTTCAACCCATCCAACAATATCAGGTTTCTCAACCCATCATCCCAAGCATGCTTTATTTTGAAGCTCCCTGCCATATATATATATAGATACAACTACATATACAAAAAATACTAATACATCATATAGTAGAATCAAGATTGTTGGTTATGTAGTTGTATCATATCCCATTAAATCCCACTAAATCACCATTAAATCAAAAATCACCATAAATCCCTGTATATATATAATGTGGGTAAAACAATGTCATAAACCATCCATTTGGGAATGGTTTATACCTATAAAAAATGGTGACTGGGGGATGGTTTATTCTTCTTTTAACCACATATAAGTAGATATGTGTCACTGGCCTCACCAAGTTCCTCAAAGTTGGGCGGGGATTCCTGGGCGGGAACCCAAACCAGGCGTCCGCGGTGGAGAGTTGATCATCTGCAACGATCTACAGTAAGAACCTACCGCTACAGTATCTGGTTACCCTCTGGTAAACTAACAGTTTGCTATTGAAAATGGCCATTTATAGTGAGTATTGCCGTTAAAAATGGTGATTTTCCATAGTTATGCTAGTTTACAACCTACCCTCTGGTAATCTGTCACATAACTATGGAAAGATCCACCATAGAAATAGTGAATTTTCCCATGAAAAATGGTGTTGATTTTCCATAGTTATGTGGCAGTTTACCAGAGGGTACAGTACCTGGGTAATCTATACTAATTATAGGTTGTCTATAATCTACAAGTACCTAATACTCCAGACTATATCATAACTTTAATATCCGCAGTAATACTCCAGACTATACAATAACTTTAATAGCCTTTCTTTGAGGTTGTGAACTGGAAGTCAACAATCCTCTGAAAACAGGAGTTTTGTGCAACGTAGGAAATAAATCATGAGTTGTTTGTTTTTTTTAGAAGTTGGTCAAAACGTCAAAACCATTTTCCTCAACATTTTTATTCAAAAGTTTCTCGCAGGTCCACCAGATGGCCGAAACTTAGCACGCAAATCGATGGCTACAGGATCCCCTCTTCTGAACGCTTACATTTCTTGCAAACAAGACATGCTGGCATTGGAGTACTTTTGAAGTGTTGCGTACCATGATACATGACATAAATAGTGTCAACAGAAGGCAACCGACAATGATAATTCCTAGTAATTCCTCCGAGGTGTATTCTGATTTTTTTTTTGGCCTATCTCAAGCCACTCTGCAGGGGACCCCGGCCACAGTTTCAGGATCCACCTTCAACAGAACCTGGCGCAGATGGATCAACCCATCCAGGGACGGAAAATCTACAGGAAATCATGGCCTCTTCCACATACGGAAGCGGCCAATGAAGCTTCCTAGTTCTCTTCCCATAATATATATATATACATGTAAAATATATACATATAATAATTATTATGTATATATAAAATATAATCTAGTGTAACCAGTGCTGAAAAGTCAGACATGATGGGGATATCGCTAAAATCACTACAGGAATTCGGAAATCTTAAAAATGACCGGGCAAGTAGCGAGCCGCTCATCCCTCAGAGTGTTGCATGGCGTTCATCCTCTGGGGAAAACTGGGAAACTGCAGGCCTGAAGCTCCTCTCCCACGCCTGACCTGGTGACACTTAACTGCGAACTGGCAGTTGGCATGCAATCAAAACGGTATATATATATATTATATAATGTAGTATCCCGATTAGTGAGGGGATACGGTATTGTGTCAAGTTTTCCCAAAATAATGCTGACCCAGTGGAATTGCTGGGGTGGGTTGGTATTGGGGCATTTTTTTCTGATGCCATTTTTTTGAGTTTTTGTTTTTTCATTTTTTTTAAATGTGTATCATTTTTTTAAAAAATAATCAACTACTTATATTGCAAAATGTTTTGAACCATAGAAAATGATAAAACAAAATCAACATACCACGTATTTTATTAAAACACCAAAATAAAAAAAATAAGAGCACCCAAACAAATTTTCCAAGGGGATAACCCATGAGCAGCATTGATCTTCAATAGTATGTTTGTTGTGGTGGTCCTCTATTGTGTCCAGTATTTTTGTTGAAGTATTTTTTTCAAAAATCCATTACTCCTTTCCTTTGCTACAGTCTTTGTCTCTTACTTAGTTCAATTCTCCTGGCATCCTCTCCTTGATTTCTATGCTGTTTCTATGGTATTTCAAAAAAACTATGGGAGTTCTATGGAATTTCTATGGTGTTTCTATGATATTCTATGGTGTTTCTAAAGGGGTGTCTATTGTATTTCTATGGGATTCCTATGGGGTTTCAAAAGGATGTCTATGGGATTTCCTTTGGATTCCTATGGGGCTTCTATGGTATTTCTATATTTCTATGGCATTACTATGGGATGTCTGAGGGAATTCTATGGGATTCTTATGGGATTTCTTTGTAGTTCCTACGCTATTTCCGTGTTATTTCTATGATCGTTCTATGGGATTTCTGTGGGATTCCTATAGGATTTCCATGACATTTCTATGGGATTACTATGGGATGTCAATTGAAAGTAAGTTGAAATCAATTGAAAATAAATTCAAACTAAATCAAATTCAATTGAATATCAATTGAAAGTAAGTTGAAACCAATTGAAAATCAATTGAATGTAAATTGAAATCAATTGAAAATAAGTTAATATCAATTGAACATCAATTGAACGTGAATTGAACATAAAATTAAATCTATTGAGCATAAATTGAAATCAATTGAAAGTAAATTGAAATCAATGGCAAGTAAATTTCAACCAGTTGAAAGTAAATCAAAATCAATTGAAAGTAAATTGAAATCAATTGAAAGTAAACTGAAATCAATTGAAAGTAAATTGAAATCAATTGAACATCTTGAAATCAATTGATCCAATATCATTCAGACCCCGGTCCCTGAAAAAAATCACATTAAATAGACACCAACATTTGTTTGGGGGGGCCCTACACTAATCAAGATCCACTATTATATACACATATTGTTTCTTTAAATACATATATAATCATGTACATTATGTATATATATATATATGTACATAGTAACCCAAAAAACATAGGAAAAGAAAAGCCTACGGCCTACTAAAATAGTTCCAGCTCCCCTGAACATATTCACCAGTGGGGATCATCATCGTGAACACGGGTGAACCCCAAAGTACTCTGCACCGTCGCACTGGGCTGAGCAGGGGTCCTATACACTAACTCAGGGTACCTACGCAGTGTGTACGCGGCCCTACGCCATGTGGAAGACAGCCTACGCGGAAACCATGCAGGAGTCAGCTGCTGGCAGCTCAGCCTGCGCGAAGAGCTTACGCCGCCTACGCTACACTGCAAAACATACATGATCACCCTACGGAACATATCATGCAGTTCCCTTTTATCTAAATTTGGAGGTTTCCTAAAATGGAGGTACCCCAAAATGGATGGTTTATAATGGAAATCCTACTAGAGATGATTTGGGGAGACCCCCATTTTAGGAACCCTCCATTTCATTATCTCAGCAAAAACGGTGCTCCACTGGGCATCCGGACAGTGTCGCTTCGGGCTGTGCCTCCTCGTCCTCCTCGTCCCCCGACGGCAGGTGTGGGTCCTGGCAATGCAGGGTTTTAAGGGGAACCCTTTTTCGGCCCTATGTGACAGTCCCAACTTGGAGACAAGATTTGGGAACTGATTTCCAAAGAATTTGGATGCAACCGGAAACAGCCGTTTCAGCCTTGATGATAGCGGGATCTTTACCCGCTGGTGATCCAATCTGGTTGGGAAACGCCAACCTATGGGATATTTTGATGGCGGATTTCACAGTGCCACACCTCGTTGTATAGGTGTATTTAGATATGGAATCACCTGTTTTTTCGTGCATGCCCGCTTTGGTGCAAAAACAAAATAATATAATTAGAACAACAGCAACAGCAACAGCAACACCAACAACCAACCAACAACCAACATCCAACAACGAACAACGAACAACCAACAACGAACACCTTACAACAAACACCAAACAACCAAACAGCCAAACAACCACAACAACCACAACAACCACAACAACCACAACAACCACAACCACAACCACAACAACAA